GCTCGGGCAAACCTGCGCGAGCACCAGCTGCATGCACTGAAACATGGTGTGTCCTGGGGCTACAATTGGGAGCTTGACCCACACTTTGGGTGGGGCAATGCCGGTATGGATTTCTCCCCAATGGTCCACAATGCAGGCTTCCCCCGAAGCGCAGGTGGTCAGCAGTTTCGAGCATTGCTGGGCTTCAATGAGCCCGACATTCACTCGCAGGCGCACATGGACCCATGGCATGCAGCAGCCATCTGGCATGAGGTGGAGCAGGTGGCTCGCAACTATGGCGTTCAGAAGCTTGTAAGCCCGGCGATGTGCGGAGACATTGGCAAAGGCACATCTTGGATGCAGCAGTTCTTGGACGCTTGCAAAGGCTGCCGGATCGATGCCATCGCCATCCACAGCTACTGGTGCAGCCTGGATGGTGTGCAGAACCTCGTTGAGCAATACCGGCGTTTTGGGAAGAAGATTTGGCTGACAGAGTTTGCTTGCGCAGCGCCAGGAGTGGACGTGTCCATGCAGGGCCAGATCAAATTCATGAAGGATGTCGTGCCGTGGTTGGAGCAGGAAGACTTGGTTGAGAAGTATGCTTGGTTCAGCTACTTTACCAACGAGTGGGCACATGGCATCACGAATCCCAACCCTGATGCTGGACTAGTTGACTGGAACGGCGCTTTGTCAGAGCTGGGGCGGGTCTATGTAAGCCTGGGCCACCACCGGCGCCTGGAAGGCAACGCGAGCTTCCAAGAAGTGCAGCCTAATGTCACCCAACCGATCTTTCCATGAGTCGTGGCGCACGCCTTGCCAGCGTGGCAGGCTTGACAGTTATGCACAAATTCGAAGACAGAAAACCACTGCCGCATAGGATTGCATGCATAGGCACGCCAACGCAGTGGGTGCATGAACGCACTGGTGTTACCCGTTTCTCCTGCACACAGTGTCAATACTCATTTTGAGGATCCGATCTGCATGAGCTTTCTCAAAATGCGACAGCCTGCAGTGTACGGACAGACAGGTGTGGCGCAGGCGCCACACCTAACCTTCTCAGTTAATTAGGAGTGTTTGACTTAGATTTGCGAGATGATGATCCAAGCAGTCCTGATCTTCACGTTCGGGACACAGTTCCTGTAAGCAGGATCTTCTAAGGCCGTAGTTGCCGTAGTGCTGTTACAGTACACGCATGTCGACTGTACGGCATGTTTTGCCCATGCAGACCAGTCGCAAAACAGGCGGCATCGTCCGCAGCTTTACTGTCACAGGCTTCACGCTTACACCTGTGGCGCGTGATCCCTGACTTGTGAGAGGAGGCTGAGTCGCTGCAAGAACTCATTGCAGACCTGACGACGTCTCGTGCTGGGATTCTGAAGGCCGGATTTCGCGGAAAGGGCCTGAGATCACTATACCCAGACTATACCCCTGCGGTCACCGATGTGCACTGGCGCACTCACCGACCAACATAATCAAAGCTGGGTTCGCCCCACAGGAGTGCACTTGCCTTGGGGTCTTCAACTACCCACAGAACCCTAGTCAATATCACCAGCAGTAATTGTTGCTGCTGATGGTTATGTGCATGATCATGCTGGATGGATGTGGTTGATGATGAGCTTGATGATGATGATGCTGATGATGATGATGATGATGATGATGGTGCTCGCAATTGATCTGTGACTACGAATAGCGAACGGTCTTCGTTGTGGCCACACGCTGAGGTGATGTTACGAAACATCCATATTGCTCGGCCAAGCATTCCTCCTTCACTTCGCAGCAGCATGAGGCGGCATCATCGTTGATGCATCACCAGGAGTGTGCTCAGTTCCATCATCGGCATCACTGCTATCCTCGATGGCGCCACCCTCGTCCTCATCATGATACAATCACCACCGTCATCACCGTCCTCATGTTGTCGTGCTTACGATCTTCTTCACCTGTCACTGCCGTCCTGTGTCCCCTGAGTATCATCTTGGTTCGGTCATCAACCTTGTGTTCGTGTGAACCTTGCCAACTATCTTCCTTTTTACCATGCACTTACCGTATGATCATCATCACTGCCTTCGGCATTATCATGAAGACTTTGGCTGTGCGAAGTGCGAAGTCCTCATGGGGAGCATTGAGCATCTCTCCGTCGCATCATGGTCATCGCACTCGCTCTGCAACCTTCTTACTAGTAACTAGTATGTAACTGCAGATGCTCACCCTGGCAAGTTTGCATCTCGAATCTGGAGTCCACTGCGCGCGGTTTGTTGCAAGGCCATGGCCTTCTGTGTGGACAAATCAATGTCCTCCCTGGCCATTGCGCAGCGAATATGCGCCAGCATCACAGAGGCCGCGGGAGACTGCAAACTGTATGAGGAGCAGGTCGATCGCGTGACGTAAATCAAACCTGCAATGCAGGAGTCGTTCAGCAATCCAGAATGCAACACAAACAGGAGTCAATGGAAATTCAAACCTGAGCGGACTCGTCACCGGATACAGGCACACTCTGAGTACTGTGCCGCTCGCTGAAAGCAGGGGTTATATAGAAGATGTTAGAAGTGGTACATCAGGGTAAGGCCATGAACAGTAGACAACATATGCGCAGAGCACGGTGCAGCTGCTTCAGGAGATACCTGGGCTAGCGACTCAGCAGCTCGTCGCACGGCTCTTTCTGCTGAACGACGCCCTTCTGCCACGTGTTCAGCTCTTGTCAGATCCCAGTCGGCTAGGTCGAAATCCTTGGGATTGGCTTCCAGCTTTGTTATCCTATGTTATCCTTCCACCTTGAATCCGAGAGCCTCAGATAGAATTCCGAGGACACCACTCGTTGCTTTCGATGTGCCATATTGCTACTTGCGGTTGAACTGCCCGGCAGCCGGATGTGAGTGAGAGCGTGCGAATGCGGGTGCCAGTCAGACTGGGGGGTGAAGGAAACGGGTGTTTGTGATTGAGGTGCTCTAGGCATTCTTGAGGCCGCAGAGCTCTTATCAGCCCCATCCTGACGAGCCCGCTGCCAGTTCTTGGGTGGTCCGAGTGTGAGTCTGTGCAGTATCAGGTGGTCCAGGCCTTGGTTGAGGACGTATCGACCTTCGCCTCTTAGGCGTCCGTGATATACTGATTGAGAGATTCGTCGTACCTGTATAGGGCCCGGGTATTGCGGGGAGAAAAGCATGCGGTTTTCGTCAGCACATGACAGGTTCTCTACAACTCTCACTGCCCCGGCCTTGGCTGGCAAGTGTTAGAGTTTAGGGTCATCAGGAGGATTGTAGGGCTTCATTCGTTTCGAACCCATGAGTTTCTGGCTACGATCCAGACCGTCGGAACATCTACGATGAACGTACGCTAGAACCCTCTCTCAAACCTTCCTGCTTCTCCAACACACGACAGATGCCAAAGGCCGCAATATGACTTGATTTTTCCAACGGTGACGGTGCTGGCAACCTCTGTCATCTTCAATGCGCCCCCCCCCCCCCCCCCCCCTCCCCGCCTCCCTGCGTTTTCCGGCATCCTGCACCGTGTGATCCGTGGAGTAGTCTATGAGGTTGTAACAGGTACTACAGCAGTAGTTCAGCAATACCACACCAGTAGACAGTAGCACACTAGAACTGTTGTACAGTAGTAGCACGGTCCTCCTGTTATCCTGTAATCAGTTAGGATTGACCAGTGGCAGTAGGAAAATGCAAAACAAATCCTGCAGACTCCGGAGCGCATCGTCACGCTGCCAAACTCCTGATCTAGCGGCGGCTAGTGCGCAATATAATAGGTTGCAATCTAAATAGAGCCAGTGCAACAGGACTCCCAGACGAGAAATAGCCTGAGACTGTCGTTGCAGTTGCAGTAGTCGCTGTGTGATGGATCTTGAGGTTGTGATCCTTGCCTGCCTTGTGCGAGCCCGAAGGTCGAAACGCTTAAGAACCCGGCAAAAACCATATGAGACCACACAAAAAACCCTGCAAAACTCAGAAAAAAAAACCAGAAAAGTCCGAAACGTGCCATGCTGTCCAGGCACTAAGCCGGGTGCTTCGCAGTATCGCCGTCAGTTCCAAGAGCTGCTGCCAGCCGGGGTCCTGGGAGGTCTAGAGTCGGGGGCTTACGTTGATAGGGTTTAGGGTTTTGGGTTTTTTTTTCGATGGACTTTCATACAGGCTTCGGGGTTTGGCAAGTTTGCGATTCAAGGCTTGGGATGTGCACTAACAACCATAGTTTCAGACCAGGCGCTGGAGAGAGCCCTGCTAGTTGAAAACGAGCATGTGATGTCGAAGGTCTTGGGGTTTGCTGTTTCAAGTTCAGGGCTTCGGGCTTAGGGTGTATTCGATTTTGGTGTTTTTTTTGGTTGTGAGCTGCTGGATCGTCTGCAAGTTCTCGATCACTCATTCCACCTAAACACACGCCTGAGAATCCTAAACTCAGGAGCTGAGTAGGTAACCTT